GAATATGTGTGTATACATTAAGCACCTAAATAAATAATTATATGTGTGCCTATATATATATATATTATCATACGCACCTTTTCCGAGGGAGTAGGGCTCAGAGGCGATTGGTTAAAGGCTGCGCCGCATCCGCGATTTTTTTGCCACTTCGCGAGGGACATCCTCGAAATTCGAAAAATCGGTGGCACCCCTCACACAGATCGTGACGTCAGGGCCCCAAAACACATGGGAATTTCAACACTCCAACATTAAATTTTCAAGAGCACAGTGAAATGTCAACGATGGCGTCCCCGATTCTCAAAAATGGCGGTTTCGCCTCAGACATCCTTTTGAAAATCGAGCCCCGACATACCCTCTGGTACCCCAGACCCCGCCTCCGAGCCTCCTGGGGGCCTCCTGGAACCTCCTGGGGCCTCCTTGGGCCTGCGGTCTCTTGGTCGGGCCTCCTGGAGCCTCTAGCCTTTTGCGGCCTCCTGGTCGGGCCTCCTGAGGCTTCCATGGACATCCTCGCAGCCTCGATCCCAGACGACCCCTCCTTGGGCCTCCTGGAATATTTTCCGGCATCCTGGTCGGGCCTCCTGAGGCACGCCCTGGCGGCGCCGCGCCAGCTTTTCTTCTCCATCTCCGATCCCGCCCGCCGTCATGGTGTGTTCTTGCTCCAAACGACCTTTCGGTTTTTTTTGTATGAGCCTGGGCACACGTGCCACTTGTATATATTCGCCTGTATACCTACATTTAAATATACACATGTTTGCGTGTAGATGTGTACGTCGATATGCATCCACACACATATGTATGTATGTATGTATGTGTGTATGTATGTATGCATGCATGCATGCATGTATGATTGTATGTATGCATGCATGCATACATGCATGTATGCATGTTTGTATGTATGTATGTATGCACGTATGTATGCATGTATGTATGTATGCATGCATGTAAGTATGTATGTATGTGTATGTATGTGTGTATGTATGTGTGTATGTATGTATGTATGTATATGTGTTTGTATGTGTGTATGTATGTATGCATGTTTGTATGTATGTATGTATGCATGCATATATGTACATATACTCCGACGTGTGCTGTAGCACCGCATGCAGCTGCCTGAATAGTAAGAACGGGGTATACCCGGTGTTTGGACAGCGCAGACTTTTTGGAAGATTGCGTTCTTGAGATGCCCAGCGCAACTGTGGATGCACGCATCCGTACCTATACGCATGGATCGGGCGCGGCGCCGCCCCCGAGCACTGCGCGGGGAGACGGGGGCGATAGCAGCAAGCACATCGAATCGTTTTCTCGTCGCCTCCCCTGCTTTTTTCTGGGTGGAATCATTTCTCATCTCCTCCCTCCCCTGCTTCTCCATCTCGCCGCTGTCCTTCTCCTTGTCCCGCGTTCCCTGGCTCGGGAAAGCAGCCAAGAGCTGTTACATCTCCAGTGCATGCTTGACCCGGGGCTCCTGCCAGACTTTCTGCCGCCATCATGTTTGGCGTATGTGTCGTTGCTGCGTTTCAGTTGCATTCCTGGCAACTTCTCGCAATCCTCATCGCCAACCTCGCGCTCCCCATACTCCTCATAGTTCACCCCATCGTCCCCCTCACACTCCTCTCACGCACAATCCTCGTCCCCCTCCCTCCAGGTAGAGGGGCTTAGGGGACGTGTTGAGGTACGAGGATCAAGGAAGGTTGATCAGGAGGGAAAGGAAGGAGAAGGAGGAAAAGGGATAAAGAGGAGGATTGGGGAGGCGGTTGAGGAGCGTTGCGGAGGAGGGCCTGGCAGGAAGGTTGAGGAAGGTCGAGTTGGATGTACGAGGGTGATGGGGCAGGAAGAAAGGAGCGGAAGATGACGATTGGGAATGAGTGTCCAGAAGGAGAGATTGGGAGAAGGGTTTGGTAAGATGGTGCAGTTGGAGGGTTGAGTTGGAAAGTTGAGGAAGGTTGGGTAATAGAGAGACGAAGGAGGAGACGGGAGTAAGAGGATGGTTGGAGAAGCGGTTGAGGAGCGCTACGAAGGTGAATCTGGTAGGAGGGCTGAGGATGGTTGAGCTAGATGGCGGGGAAAGGAGAGGGGGCAGGAAGAGAAGGGAGGTGGAGGAAGGCAGTTGGGAAGGAGGGTTTGGAAGGAGAGTTTGGTAATAAGGTTGAGGAGGATTGAAGAGGAGAGTTGATGAGGCAGTTTGTTGGGAGTTGGGGGGTGATGAGCCGATGACGGTTGAGGATGAGGTCCGAGGTGAATCGAGGATGATGGTTTTCAAGGAGGACTGTTCAGGATAAACCAGGAGAGCGCATGAGGGATGAGGGGGGTTGAAGGGACTGCTGAGGGGGTGATGCGGAGGGTCGAGGGTGAAGGTTGGGGAGCCAGGGTTGATGAGGAGGATTGTGGCCGAATTCGGGAGAGGAGTGTTGAGGAGGAGGGTTCCCCTCTTGCATGCGGGACAATTCGCAACTCCGCAGCCCGGTTTTGTTTCACGCGCGAGCGGATCGCCTCTGCCGCGCCGCGACGGCAAATTGAGGAGGATCATTGACCAGGAGGGTAAAATAGGAGCATCGGGGGAAAAGGGGTGACGAAGGTGGTGTGACGAGTAGCTTTATGTGTTTGGGTACCGGTTACCCCGAGTGCCTGCAGCATTCAGCTCCCACAAGGAATGCAACCGTAGACCATGTGCAAGTGGAGCCTATGCTAAAAGCCAACACAGATGGGTTTTATCTGAAAGCCGCCCTCCAGAAAGGATCGATTCGCAAATGCCCTTCACTGGAAAAGGGTACATTCGTAAAGCCAACGCATGCGATTTTTATGTGCAGACCCCACATCACATGTTGGCCAGTGTGGAACCCAAACAGTGAGCGGTTTCGCTGTGGAGGTGTAGGCCATGCGCTGTGAGCTACGTGGTGCCAAGCATGAAGTGAGCCCCAAGAGTAAGCTGTGGTGTTTGATCTGTGTGCCGGGAGCCGTGTGGTGCGCATGCTGTGTGGTGAGAGCTGTATTGTGCAAGCTGTGCGAGGCAAGCTGTGCGGCGCGATCTGCATCGTGGAAGCCGTGAGGTGTGGGCCCTGGGGTCCTGTGAGAGGAGGAGGAGGAGGGGGAGGAGGAGGAGGAGGAGGAAGGAGGAGAGGAGGAGGAGGAGGAGGAGGAGAGAGGAGGAGGAGGAGGAGGAGGAGGAGGAGGAGGAGGAGGGAGGAGGAGGAGGAGGAGGAGGAGGAGGAGGAGGAGGAGGAGGAGGAGGACGTGCGGGCCTTGGGCGCCCACGCGGCGACGGCTCGGGGCGCCCACCCCGGCGCACGAGGGGCACCCGCGAGGAGCCCACGGGCGGGCACGGGCGCCGGCGGTTTGCGAGTCCTCGGGGCAGCCTGCCCAGCGCACGGGGGCGCGCGTGAGGCTCCCACGAGCGGGCTCGGGGGCCACCTGCGAACCCTACCCCTCTTCCTCCTCCTCCTCCTCCTCCTCCTCCTCCTCCTGCTCTTCCTCCTCCTCCTCCTCCTCCTCCTCCTCCACCTCCTCCTCCTCCTCCTCCTCCTCCTCCTCCCTCCTCCTCCTCCTCCTCCTCCTCCTCCTCCCCTCCTCCTCCTCCTCCTCCTCCTCCTCCTCCTCCTCCTCCTCCTCCTCCCCCCCCCCTCCTCCCCTCCTCCTCCTCCTCCTCCTCCTCCTCCTCCTCCTCCTCCTCCTCCTCCCTCCTCCTCCTCCTCCTCCTCCTCCTCCTCCTCCTCCTCCTCGATTCGATGTTTCCCCGCCCTGGGAGGCTGTACCCCCTGAGCATGTCATCGCTCCCCCTCCCCGGAGACTGCTCCCCCCCCCCACTAGGAGGCCAGATGCGAATCCTGCCTCTACCCCCCCCCCCCCCCACCCACGATTTCTGAGGGGAGGGTGGGGTTCACTTCGCTTGGGAGCTCCCGAGCGAAGCGAACCCCACCCTCCCCCTCAGAAATCGTGGGGGGTAAAGGTAGGGTTCGCAGGTGGCCCCCTGCGGGCACGGGTCAAGGGAGGAAAAAGCACCCGGACCGGACAGTTGGCGTTTACTGAACGGCCCTGGGCGCTTACTAAACACAGCCCTGCCCTGTTTGATTCCATCTTTGGGCGCGTTTGCGAAACGACTTCGCGTGTCGGGGTGGTTATTGTGGGGGGATTGTTTGACCTCGAAAGGGGGCCAACGCGGCGAAAGCCGGGGCAACCAGTAGAGTTACTTGGGGCAGGCGAAGGTAGAACCCTCCCGAGCGAGCAGAGATCGGGGCAGAGGGACTCGGGTTGCAGATCCTGTCCCGGAAGCCCACACAAGGATTAAGTGTGTGCCTTTGTGTGTGTTTGTCAATATTTGCTCCTAGGTGGAAGCTATGTGTAAGTCTTCTGCCGCAGAGAGGAGATTGCAAAGCCGACGCCACCAGGGTTACGCATATGGACTTGTCCCCCGCCCAGAAGGATCCGACGTGCAAATCATATCCCACGGAGGGGACGTATGTGTAAAGCACACACGGGAAGACCACCTTTGAAAGTCCTCCATTGCAGAAAGAATGTGTTTGACAACCCCCTCCGACAAGAAGGTGTCGCTTGTAAAGCACTCGCAGAAGGATTCGATTTAATAATCTGCCCCCACAGAAGCAATTTAACTGAGACTCCAGAGACTCAGGAGACGATGTGACTGCTCGGATGGCTTCGGGGGATTGTGTGGGAGACCGAACCTTGGCTTGGGCGGCCTGGCTGTTGCAGAATGCATCTGGTAGCTGCAGCCTGCAACATCTGGCGGTGCAGTGGGGCTTCAACGGGTGGGAGTGTTCCCAGCAACCCGCGAGAATCCCTGGTAATGTTCTGTGCCTGGTCCTTGTGATATTGTGGTCATGAGGACGGTGGAAGGGCTCCTTGGGAACACTTCTGGACATCCGAGCATCCATTCAGTCAGTTTGCTGGTTTTGTGGTCAAGCCGCTTCGCTTGCAAAACCGAGAGGAAGGCTGCAAACTTGATGCAGGTTCATGCTAAGACAAGCTGGTGCTCTTTCAATTCAGCTCAGGTGCCGGGCTGGACGTGGCTATCGTCAACGCGGGCTCTGCTTACAGCGTTGGTGGAGGTTTCCTGAAAGGCTGCCTTGAGCTTGCTCTTTTGTTTTGCAACATATTCAGGCGAGCACGCATAAGCACATGTCTACCCCCCAGGCGGGCCATGTCGAATCCAAGTCTTTGCAATACAGAATCGCCTAGCCAGGACGCGGGGATGGAGAGGCATAGCGCCACATTGCAACGCTCCCACAGCATTACGTAGTCGTGGCGTTGCCGTTCTTGTGCAGTGCGAAGCAAGCGCGTTTGTGCGCACGTGCCCGCTTGCAGTGTTGGATGGATTGCCCGCAATGTGCGGGCGGGAAGCGCGCGCTTCCCTAGCAAAAGCGGGTGCACGCACGAGTAAGGTTTGCGCCATCGCCGCTCTCATTGAAGAACGCAGCTCCGAGCATCCTCTGTCGCGGCGGAAGGGTTTGATATGCGCCTGAACAGGAAGAGGAGGATGAGGAGGAGGAGACAAGTAGGAGGAGGCAGGGAACACCACTAGACGTGGGATTCCAGATACCTCCATGTTAGCCATTGTGGACCCCAAACAATGATGTTGTACCATCTATGTTGCGCGATCTAGGTGGTGCAATCTAGGTGGTGCATTGCATGCGTGCAATCGATGCGGTGCAAAGCTAATGCGAAGCAATGCAAGGCAACGAAAAGCAACGCAAAGCGACGCACAGTCATGCAAAGCAACTCAGTGCGATTTCAAAACAATGCAAAGTATTGCCATGCGAAGCAATGTACTGCAAAGCAATGCAACGCAATGCAAAGTGCGAGCCTCGCACAATCGAAATCGTGACCAAGGACGGCGGCGACGGGCTACGAGGGATCTGTCCAGAGCGTTGGGAGCTGCGCGGGTGCGGCCGTCGACTGGACTGTTCGACAGTCGGTCGATTCGATGGTGCATCTGATGTCTGTTCGCGGCATCGGCCGAGTTGGTTACCCACATCCCTGGCGTCGTGTTTGTTGTCCCAGGTGCAGTAGAAAGCCATGCCAAGGAACACCCTGATTGCCTCCAGGGTGCCCTGGGCTTTGAGGTTTCGATGGTTTTGCTATGGAAAGCGTGACGTTCCCACATCGAAAATCAATGGTGGGCGTGGGCTTTCAGGGTTGGGCTTCTTGTGGAACGTTTCTTGTGGTCGAGCTCCTACTGCATACGGTCGGGAGCTTTTGTACAGTGGCCCTCCTCCGGTTCTGGCCCGCCGCGCTTTGGAGCGACACGTTATCCACTTCGCGGTCCCGAGGCGTCAATGTCCCGAGCCTTTCCGAGCCTCCATCCCCGCGGAGCGGAGAGACACGCTATCCATTCCCAGGGCATATCGTGTCGCCGGGGCCGCCGTTGTGACACGCTATCCAATGGTTCCCGACCGCAGAGCTCTTGTCATTAATGACGCTTCGCGTATACCAACCAGAGAGGGGGGGTGCCGCGTGAGGCCTTGGTTAGCCGCGTTAGGCGTGGTCTGTCTCCGCTGTTTTTGCCTAATTCGTCGCTGCGTAGCCCGCTTTGACCTGACTCGCCGCCGGCGCGCTCGCCCGCGGCCGCTGACTAAAAGTAGACCAGCCAGATCATCCAGGAAGGATGTCCAGGCGAGCTTTCAGGAGAAGGGACAGAATTACCTACGGATGGATTGAAACAGAAAGGCCGGTGATAGTGAATTCGACGGGACACGCTCCCACTGAACATTCGGTAAACGTCAGAGGTGGGAGGACATGGAAAATGAGGCGAGGGGGCGAGGAGAAGAAATTGGAGGAAGTGGGAGGAGGAGGAGGAGAAGGAGGAGGAGAAGGAGGAGAAGGAGGAGGTGGGAAGAGACCAAAGAAAGCGACGATGACGACGACCACGACGGCGACGGCAGGAGTGAGCTAAAGGCCTCTGGGAGGCTTCTAATGGAGCCTCCAGGAGCAATGTGGAGCCCTCTGGGGGCCCCCGTGTGGCCATACTGGTGCCTCTTCTGGGACCCTCTTGGGAGCCATGATGGGCCCTGGACACTTCAAATTCAGACGCACTCGCACCCACTCTCGCACATGCTCAGACTCAGTCACAGACTCACCCATCTTTGCGTTCACTCATTATCAGACTCTTACACAGGGCCCAGTGACCATGAAGCTGTAGCCGGCACGGCACGCGGGCACCCCAAAAAGGGAGCCGCGGGGGGGTACTGCATGGGCCCCTTCGCGGAGTATGGAGACCTTTCAGGTCGAAAGGTCCGTCTGGGTGCGGGGACGTGTTTCTTCACAGAGCCACTTGATTGCCTTGATGTGGCAAGCATTGCACGTGGGTCGCCCAAAGGGGACCCGCAAGGGGGTATTGCACGTGTTCGTGTGCGCCAGAGTGCTCTGATTTCTCGGGTGGAACGGCAGTTTTGAGGGGCAGACGTGCCCCTTCTTCACAGCCCAATCATCACCGTGACGTAGCAGACATGGCATTCGGGCCACCCAGAGGGGAGCCGCCACAAGGTATTGCACGGGCCCCTTCGCGCCCAGATTGTCGGAACCTTTCAAGCAGAATGACAATGTTGATTGGTACAGGTGTTTCGTTTCAGATCCATACGATCATCGCATTGCAGCAGGTATGGCATTTGGACAATCCTCTGGGGAGCCGCCAGAGTGTGTGCACAGTCCAGTTCGCGCCCAGAATGCACGGTCTTCTCAAGCAGAATGGCAGCATGTGGGGTGTAGACGTGTCCCCCTGTCAGAGCCCCATGATCATCGCCATGTCACAGATATGGCTTTTAGGCCACCAAAGGGCAGCCGCCAGGGGGTATTACACGGGCCTGTGCGCGCACAGATTTTCGGGATTTGTGAAGCTGAATGGCATTTTTTGTTAGGGGGGGCAGCGCTTCAGGGCCGCGTGATCGCCGCGGAGTAGCAGGCATGGGATTTAGGCCGTATTACATGGGCCCGCTCGCGCCGAGATTGTGAGGGTCTCTCCTGCAGAATGGCCGTTATGGGTGGAGGCAGGAGGTTTTCTGGTTTTCTTGTCAGAGCCCCACGATCATCGCGATGTAGCAGGCATGGCGGTTCGGCCACCCAAAGGGGGGGGGGGGCCGCTAGGTGGGCCTGCTCCCGCTCCGACTGTCGGGACGAAATCGCCGCTTCAGGTGGAGGTAGAAGCCTTTCTTTCCAGAGCTCCGTGGTCATCGCGCTGTGGCAGGTAGGGCACCTTGAGCGCTGCAAGGGTGAGCTGCCAGGGGGGATTGACGAGCCCGTTCGCGCCGAGGTTGCCGGGACCTCTCGGGCAGAGTGGCCGTTTTGCGGGGGTAGGAGCGTCCCCTTTCAGAGCCCAATCAGTGATCATCGCGATGTAGCAGGCATGGCACTTGGGCACCCCGGGAGGCGCGTCACGCACGAGCCCGCTCGTGCCCGGATTGCTGGAAGCTCCCAAGTAAATGACCACTCGGGGGGCATACTCATCTGGATTCGTGCTTCAATTCGGGCAGGCCCTCCTCCCTCCTTCTTCCCCCCCTTCAGCCTCGCCGGAAGCGATGACATTCAAGAGCTAGTAGAGCGTCGAACTTCGATCCCCGAGAGCTCCCTCCTCAACCCCCTCTCCCCCCTGCGGCCTCGCCTCGCCCACTTCCACTGCTCTCCTCTCCGAGAGGCCGCCGAAGGCCGCCGAGGGCCGCCGAGGAGAGACGCCGCGCCCCGGGAGGTGGCCGGCACGCGCTGGAGGAGGCGATCTGCACGCGCTCCACGCTGTTCCGGTCCCTCTCCGTCGCCCAGCAGAGGGCCAAGGCCCGGGGGAAGGGAGAGGAGGACGACAGCGGCGGCGGCGGCGAGGACGAGGAGGAGAACGGCGAGGAGGAGGAGGACGAGGAGGGGGAGAACGACGAGGAGGAGATCGAGGAGAAGGAGGAGGAGGAGGAGGAGGAGACCGAGGAGGAGGAGGAGGAGGAGGAGGAGGAGGAGGAGGAGGAAGAGAACGACGAGGAGGGGAACGACGAGGACGAGGACGAGGAGGAGGAGGAGGAGGAGGAGGAGGACGAGGACGACGAAGACGAAGACGAGGACGAGGACGAGGAGGAGAAGGGGGCGAGGAGGGCGACGAGGGGGGTAGGTCGGTTCTGGTCCCCCTCCGTCGCACAGCAGACGGGGGCGAGGCCCGAGTGACCCAGACGCCCCCCTAGCGCTGAACTTCCCGAGACGTACCCAAACACTTCTCCACGCGAGGCGACTCTTTGTAGGAGCGCTCTTCACGAAAGAGCACCTCGCGCCTCACCTCCGCTGTGCGTGCCTCCCAGGAGCCCACGAGAGTGGCGACGGTCGCGCTGTTCCCAGCCCCTGGGGGGACCCACGATGTCTTGAAGTGATCTGCGCTGCCCCCATGTGCGCCGTGCCTCCCACGAGCTCATGCAAGTGGCAACAGCCGCGCAGTTCGCAGCCCACGATGGGAGCCGCGAGGTCTCGAAGTGATCTGCGCCGCCCTCACCTCCGCCGTGCCTCCAGGGAGCCCACGAGAGTGGCGACGGTTGCACAGTTCGCAGCCTTCGAGGGAGCTGCGCGGTCTCAGCTGGGTCCACGTACAGCTCCACTCCGCCTAACCTCCCAGGGGCCCACCAAGGTGGCGACATGTTCGCAATTCGAAGCCGCTCAGGCATCCGCGAGGTCCAGTCTGGGTCCGCGTTCAACTCCCCTCCGCGGGACCTCCCAGGAGCCCACGAAAGTGGCGACATCTACGCAGCCACCCAGGCAACCGCGAGGTCCAGTCTGGGTCCTTGTACAACTCCACCCCGCTGGACCTCCCAGGAGCCAACAAAAGTTGCGACATTTGCGCAGACCGCAGCCTCCCAGGGGGCCGCGAGGTCCCGTCTGGGTCCGCGTACAATTCTACTCCGATGGACCTCCCAGGAGCCCACGAAAGTGGCGACAGTTGCGCAGTTCGCAGCCTCCCGTCAGGAAAGGTACAAGCAAGAGAGGCAAGGAGGCAGAGGACAGGAGAGGGGAGGAGGAGGAGGAGGAGGAGGAGGAGGAGGAGGAGGAAGGAGGAAGGAGGAGGAGGGAGGAGGAGGGAGGAGGAGGAGGAGGGGGAGGCGAGGAGAGGGGATGGACGGGAGCAGGAGAGTGAAGGTGCCAGGAGGAGGAGGAGCACCCGATTCAGGGTGGCGGACGAGACGGCGGACCCAAGTCCGCAGGAGGGTGGAGAACCCAACCGCAGGAGGGTGGGGACAAAAAACAACAAGGCAGGTGTTCAATACGGTTCTGCCTCGTGGGGGGGCCCTTGCCGAACCCCAGGGCCGTCAAAAACGACCCGGGATGCGACGCCAATCCCGGGGAAGGGGCCGAGACCTCCAGGGGCCCACGATGTGACACAGCGACGACGGCGGGGGCGGGAGGGCAGGGAGAGGATTCGGGCCTTCCCGGAGTCTCGCCAAGGCTGGACGAGCCGCCTTCGGCTGCGCCCCCTCCGCGACCGCGGCGCCCGGGGCGAGAGGAGACTGTTCCGGGCTGGCCCAGGGGCCTGCTGAGGGCGACCAGGGGCAGCCTCTGTGGCTGTCTGTGATCAACCCCAGCCCTTGCCAAGGGCTGTCGAACGGTTTGACTGGGCCGTAGGCGACCCGAGGAGGATGGGGACGAGGAGGAGGAGGAGGAGGTGAGAGGAGAGGAGGAGGAGGAAGGAAGGAGGAGGGGGAGGAGGAGGAGGAGGAGGGAGGAGGGGGAGGAAGGGGAGGGAGGAGGAACAGGAGGAGGAGGAGGAGGAGGAGGGCTGTCAGCGAGTCCTAGGCCCAGGAAGCGGATGCCACGAGGGCCAGGGACGTGCCAGACCCGCGCTCCTCCTCGTCGGGCTCAGGCCTCCGACGGCGCATTTGTCTGACTATTTGGACCCCCAGAGCCTCCTCCTCCTCCTCCTCCTCCTCCTCCTCCTCCTTCTCCGTCCGTCCTCCTCTCCACCTCGCTCCCTCCTCCTCCTCCTCCTCCTCCTGGGCCCCTGGAATCCGACAATTGCCGATGACACTCCGTCGTGGTCCTCCCACGACGCACGGAGGTCTGGGAGATCTGCGTGTCGTCGTCCTCTCCCCTGGGCCCGGCTTGGCCTCCCGAGTCGCTCGTTGGCGGCCTCAGGGTCGGGAAACGGTTTCCAGAGCCCGATGATACAACAACAGAGGTGTTATATGGATGTGCAGTTTGTGTGTGTGTGATGCGACGCCCGGATCTGAGCGTCCTTCTTGGTGAACCGCTCCTAGATTTCGCAGTTGTCGCGCAGTCACGGGACGTCGTTAGTATGACAGAACTGCCACAGTTGGTGCAGAAGCAGGGCTCGAGTGCGACCCCACAAGCGGAAGAGGCACACTGCAACTCCGGGGGACCACGTCTGTCCAATCCATGGTGGTC